AGGTGGGGAGCTGTAGACGTACGGCGGTGGTGGGGACTTGTACTCAACCTTTGGAGAAGGAGAGTAGTATGGAGGAGGTGGGGAGCTGTAAACGTACGGTGGTGGTGGGGACTTGTACTCAATCTTTGGAGAAGGAGAGTAGTATGGAGGAGGTGGGGAACTGTAGAGGTATGGTTTTGGATGTGGCGTGTACTTAGGGCCTTGTCTTCGATATTGTGGTGAAGGTGGTGGTGATGCTGAGTAGTATGGGGAATACTTTTTAGGTGGATATGATGATTTGTGTTCATGGCTTGGAGAATTGTATTGTGGTGTTTGAGGAGATGAGTAAGGGTACGATGTCACTGTAGCTGCAATGGCACTTAGGACCACGACATAAACCAAAAGATGCCCTAACCCCATCGTTCTTGAGGATCTTACCACTTCTTTTATTTCTTTGTTTTTGTTATGATATACTTGAACATGAACACCCTTTATATAGTCTTTCTTTGTATGTAAATATTATATTATCTTGGCAACTTGGGTTCGTGTGTGGCACTTCCAAACATATTAGAGGACGTGCTAAGTTGTTTGTTTAAAAAATATAGTATTGAATATGAAATATTATTAGTGCTTCCCTTACAACTTTCAATTTTTTAATAAGTTTTCATTCTCTTTTGTTTGAATTTAATCGACTCAATTATTTTGAAGAACAAAACATATCCGTCGATTTATAATTATTTTAGCTATAAATTCGGTAAGATTTGTTGGAACTTGACGATATATTTACTTGGTTTTAAAATTAAATACTCTACAATAATTTAATCATTTAAAAAAAAATCAATTTTATCAATTTGAAAGTTGTATTAATTTAAAGTGAAATAAAAATAACCAAATTTAGAAATGAAACACTTCTGAAAACAAAGTTCATTAAAAAATTTAAGGTGATCGTATAGATATAAAGGTTCACACGAAGTTTTGATTCTTCCTCCAGACACACATTTTTTAATATGTCTTAATGTAGATTAATATTTTTGTAGACATAATGATTTTCAAGATATGTTTATATTTAAGGTTTAAATTTTTGAAAAAATATGTGAAACAAGATAAAATATGGAAGGTGAAGCAAGTAATTCCTTAGGAGAGGAAAGCATTAGAGCCAAACAGTTTTGGGAGCAGCGTTGAAAATATGTCAAAAATGAAAGGATTCGTTGAGGATTGTTAATTAAAAACAAAAAAAATAAGGCCATTGAACATGATGTCTACACCCATTGAGTGGAATATACTCAGCTCTGTTTATTGCCTAAAGTAGTTAACCCGGATAAGATGTTTGATCTGAGGCCTATTAGCATGTGTTCTATCTTGTATAAAACCATCTCAAAGGTGTTGATTAGTAGATTGCAACCTTGGCCGGGGGATATTGTCTCGCTAATTAGTTTGCTTTTGTAGCTGAAAGATTAATCTCATATAACATCTTGATTGCTTGTAGTTCATGGTCTAAGAACTCATGCTCATATCTCTAAGGAGTTAATAGAAATCAAGTCTGATATGTTCAAGGCATATGATAGGGTGGAGTGATCGTATCTCGCCTTAATGCGATGGGTTTTCATTCGAAGTGGGTTAGTTGGATCATGTTTTGTGTTACCTCTGTCTCTTTCTCGGTTCTTATTAATGGTCAACCTTGGGATGATTAAACCTAAAAAAGGGTTAAGATAGGGAGATCCTTTATCTCCCTTTCTGTTTGTTTTGTGTACTAGAAGCGTTGACACATCTTATGAATATGTCTGAAAGAGAAGGCATTATGAATGGTATTCAGTTTTCCAGTGAGGGTCCGGCTATTCATCACTTACTTTTTGTTGATGATAGTTTGTTCCTTTGTAAAACAGGTGCTAATCAAGTAAGTGTCATCAAGTCGATATTCAAAATGTATGGGGATGCTACTGTCCAAAAGATCAATTGATATTCAAAATGTATGGGGATGCTACTGTCCAAAAGATCAACTTTGAAAAGTCCTCTCTCACTTTTGGGGAAAATGTGGAGGAGGTGCATAAAGAGTCTATCAAAGCTCAGCTAGGTATTTTCATGTAGGCCTGGGCACTCGGTTCTTTCGGGTTATTCGGTTCGGTCTGTTCGGTTTTCTAGTTGTTCGGTTATATAGAAAATACGCCGAATTATGTCCGAATAAATGTTCGGTTCGGGTCAAACGGTTTACAGGTTATTCGGGTCGGTTTTTTGATTTATTTGATCTTCCGAATTAAACCGAAAAAAATCTTATTCGGTTATTTTAAACCGAACCAGACTAAAACAGACAAAAAATGTTCATACATTTGAGAAATCATCAAGTTTACAGACATTAAGCAAGACCAAAACATTATAGGCCATGACCACCAAACCAAACCGAATCAATAATCGAGCTACTAAATTAATTATACCATTCGGTTTGATCTCCCTCAAAGCTTAGGCGCCGATAACCGAATGTTTCGGTTTCCTCGGTTCGGTTTAAACGGTTCACGCCGATTGCCCATGCCTATTTTCAAGGAAAAGGGTGCTGGTACTTATCTGGGTTTGCCTGAGTGTTTTTCTGATTCTAAAATAGATATGTTTGATTTCATTAAAGACAGGCTAAAATCTTGTTTTTCTGGATGGTTTCCGAGATCCCTATTGAAGGGTGGTAAGGAGATTTTGTTGAAGGCGGTGGCTATGGCCATGCATGTGTATGTCATGTCCTGTTTCAAACTAGCTAAGACGACGTGTGGTAATCTGACTAGTGCCATGGTTGATTTCATGGCACTAGAGGATTTAAAGAAGATGGTGGATTGGAGTTTAAAGATATTACATATTTTAATCAAGCATTGCTGGCTAAACAAGCCTGGAGGTGTGTCCAAGACCCGGAATGTTTATTTACTAAAGTTTTGAATAGCAGATATTTTGAGGCTGATGAAATTTTAGAGGCTGACATTGGGACAAGGCCTTCCTTTGGCTAGAGGAGCATTGTTCAAGGAAGAGAACTATTAATCAAAGGTTTTAGGAAAATGGTTGGTAATAGGAAATTTCTAAGTGTTTGGATGGATTCTTGGGTCTATGACAATGGGATGAGAGCTCCCTTCAGCAAAAATGCAATCATTAATTATGAGATGAAAGTGGAGATGTTGATTGACAGTGCGCAAGGGGTTGGAATAAAGACGAGTTAGAGAAACATTTTTCCCCAATGATATATATTTCTCTAATTTTGGTGCAAAAGCCGACTGTTGATAGAGATGACTTCTATTGTTGGGAAAGCACTAAGAGTGGAGATTATACTGTTAAGTCTGGTTATGATTTGGCTTGCAAAGTAAAAAATTCTGAGTTTTTGCAACATGCCAGAATGTTACCATCTCATAATAAGTTGAAAGAAAATATTTGTTCTTTATAAATTTTGTATAAGATCAGAATATTTTTATGGAGAGCTTTGAGTGGTGCTCTCTCTATGGGTGAGCAGTTTGCTAAGATGAGAATGAAGACTGATGTCAAGCCTGTGGCAAGAACCAGAATCCATCAATCATGTGCTCTTTAATTGCTATATGGCTAGAGAGGTGTGGGTTTATCTGGAGTTCCTTCGTCAAGAGGTGGTTTTGAGATGAGTTCTTTTTTTTTTTATAAATTTCCGATTTCTTTATGAAATCCATTTGGATAATAGGTAGGATCTTAGGACCAAAAAGAGTTTTCCGTGGATCTTATGGAGACTTTGAACAAATAGAAACAAGTTTTTCGTTAAAAAATTTTGTTTCAATCCACAAGATTCTATGGGGAAAATTTGGGAAGATGTGGATTAGTGGTTTGTAGCACATGATGTGTCACTTAGGGCAGAGGAGGAAGCTGGTTTGGATACCTTGTCAAAGGAAAAGTCATGGGTTCATCCGTCGGCACAGTGGGTAAAGTGTAACACTGCCTTGTCTAATAAGAATAGGTTTGGGGGAGGAGCGTGGGTGGTTAGAGGGGAGGATGGTCAGGTTATTGCGTATAGTAGAAAAGTTTTTTGAGGTCTGAAGAACAAGAAAGAGATCATGCTTATGTGTTTGACTTGGGCCATGGATACTATGTTTAATCCCAAAATGAGGAGGGTTATTCTTGTTGCTCAAGCGCACGATGTTTTTGGTGCGATGGCTAGACCTAAAGCATGATCATCTTTCTCTAACCAGGTGGTGCAGATTAACCATTTTTCGGATAAGCTAGAAGACTGGAAATTGGAGGTGGAAAGTGTTAATGCCAAGGTACTTCTCTCATTACGTAAAGTATTACATCTGATACAAGATTTCATGACTATGTGGCTGCGGGGCATCTTCAATGGCTTCATAGGGTTTTTTAAGATGATAGACTTTCCTCTTTAGCTCAATGATGTTTCTGTTCATAAGTTTTTGTCTCTAACTAGTTTTTTGGATGTTTATAGGAGTTGATCCTTTTTTTTTAAGTAGGTTTCATCCTGAATATTATCATTCTAATACTAGGTGATAACTCGCGCTATGCCGCGATTTTTTTTGGTTTTTTCGTTTTGTTTTATTTAATATTATGTTTCAATAAATATAATTTTAAATTTTCTTATCATTCACTCATGCAATCATCAATAACTTTTAGTGTTAAAATACTTTTTTCTACCAACCTTCTCAAGAATCTCAGCAATGTATCATTCATACAATCTTGAAACAATTTGCGTCGTAACCCAATTTTATAGATGATAATGTTGGGATTATATAAACCTCAAGAACTTGATGCTGAAACTCTTCTTAAGTACTCCTCATCATATGTATTATACTATTTAGATTGATATTAATGAGAATAATCAACTCAAACCATTAGTTAATTCACTATATTAATATCTACTCATATTTTAAGTTAAGATTACAAAACATTAGCGAAGAAAAAATAAACGAGTATGCAGAGCCGTCCCTATGTTTTATAAGACTACAAGCGATGGAAAAAAAGGCCACTTTACACATGTTTATAAAATAATTTTTTTTTGATTAAACCAAACATAAAACTGGATATGTTTAACGAAAGCCTAAACATTGTAAAACATCAGAGATCACTACAAATTTTTTTCCTTGTGAATATGATTCTCCTTGCATTTGTACTTGCAAACTCATCCATCAAGTTTTCATAGTCAAGTTTTTCCGCCAAACTCCTTTCAATGGACATCATCGACAATCCATTCAGCCTCTCTTGTGACATAGTCGATCTTAAATAAGATTTTATGAGTTTCAACTTTGAGAAACTTCTTTCCGCAGAAGCAATAGAAACGGGAATCGTCATCATTATGTGATAGGCAGTCCATGTATTTGGATAACAACTTCCCATCTTTTTCAAAAAATCCAAGACCTCAACAAACTTTTTAATCTCTTTAGGTAAAACCCCTCTTAAAAGCTTTAGCTCCAAAAATAGATCATTACCATCAATATCAGAATGAGTATCATGCTTCAGAAAAACTTCAAGATTGACACAAGAAGCCATCAACTTCTCCTCGTCCGCTAACTTCAGCTTCTTCAAGTCAAACAAAAATCCAAAAGTATTTTCATAACTTTGAAGTTGTTCAAACCTTGTTTCAAAAGAAACCAAACCTTGATCAACGATTTTGAGGAAGTAGTTGATTCTGAAATCTTCTTCTGCTGTCAATATTACATCTTCCCCAACTTTTTCAGCCTCTTCATCATGGGATCGTTTCCTTTTACTAAGACGCTTTGCTTTCACCGAAAATACAGGATCAATATTCATATCTACAGCAATGCGTTCAGCTTCTAACTTTGCTGCTTGAAATCATGTATCTCTATAGTTTCTAAAAAAAGAAACAAGACATTGGAGTTGAGCAATAGCAATATCAATATCCAAATCTTCCGATTGGAGGATCTTGCTTACTTTGTTAACAACAAACAAGAGTTCATACCAAATAATCATCCCAAACAAAAACTCAAAACACCCAATTCCATGGATTTCGCTCATTGCAAGAGACTCTGCATCGCTTCTTGTTTTCGGATTATCACTGTTTTAAATAAAGCATCTCGAGTCTGTGGAGCTTGAAATCGTATTGCTTTAACGCTTTTAACGCGGCTCTCCCAACGATTTTGTGATAATGGTTTAACCGTAATACCATTCACAATATCTCTAAAAACTTCACAATTATTTGTTAAGGAGGCAAATAAACAATAGATACGCTGAATAATTCCAAAAAATGATACTGCTATTGTCGACGAAGAAGCGATACCTGAAAGTGCGAGATTTAAGTTGTGGCAACCGCATGGTGTGTAAACAGCTCTTGGATTAATTTCAAGCAATCTCTTCTGAAATCCTTTATTATTATAACCTTGCCCTCTAACATCATCAATATTCAATCCAAGATCAAGTAATACAACTCGAAGGGTCTCAAAAAACCCTTCTCCTGTTTTGTCTTTGACTTCTATAAATGTCAAAAAAAAAACTCTTCAATCTTTGGTGCAGGCTCAGAAATATCCACACATCGGATTATTAGTGACATCTGATCTCGGTTACTAATATCTGGAGTGGTATCAAGAATAATAGGAAAACACTTTGCACAATGAATCTTTTTTAAGATCATTTGTCTTACCTCATTTCCAAGCATCTCCATCAACTCATTCTGAATTTGGGGACTCATATAATGATTACGAGTTTCATGTTCTTCAACTCGGCTAATATGCTCTTTCATCACAAGATCAAAATCTGCAACCGCCTCAATCATGCCCAAAACATTTCCATTACCATCCACTCGAATCTTGTCATTTCTTCCACGAAACACTAAATTGTTTTTAGCAAGACCCTTTACCATTGCAATTATCTTCAACAACACATCTCTCCAATGTCTTTTCTCTTTGTTGATCTCATCCTGTATATACATATCAATAGTCTGGTTACTTTGTAGTCGTACTTGTAGCTCCATCCAATTAGTCATGCATATGATATGCTTATGACTTTTTTCATGCTCTCTCAGCATTTGTGATACATTTCTCCAGTCACTATATCCAATATAGTTGCTAACTGATTAGCATTTTTGTCCTATGTGAATAACTTACAACAAAAACAAAAGATTTTATCTTTTAGTTTTGAGTAAACTAACCATCGCCTATCTTGCTTCTCACCATTCTTTATTTCTCTTGTATAAGATGAATGAGAGAAACATCTTCCAATACGATCTCTTGGAAAATGATAATCAGTTGAAAGCCTTGTCATTGGACCTTTCTCAACCAAATAATCTCTCAACTTATTATCAATTTTTTCCCAATTTCGAGGATCACTAACATCTCCAAAGAATTGATATTCCTTAAAATCATCAGCTTTCTCATTTTCATTCTCATTCTCATTTACATTCACATTCTCTTCACACTCATGCTCATCTCCGACTCCATGTTCATCAACACCCTCATCATCATTCCTATTGATCTCATCCTCTAGAGTCTCATCAATTTTAGAAGTTTCAGTTCGTTTAACATACCTTAACATCGAATTAGCAAGAGACTTCGTTAGTTTTTCTTGTCTCTTATTTTTTCTAATTTTCGCAACGCCTCCCGTCTCATTTCTTATTCGTTTCGAAGACATCTTACTGAAATAAAAAAATCTATTAAAAATTAGTATAAACAAATATATATGGAAAAGAATGAAACTGGTAAAACATTATTATATAATTGAATATAGTGGCATTGGAACAAAACGTTGACAACAGATTTTTACAACAAAACGTTGCTCTAATTAGGAACAAAACATTGACAACACAAAGATGAGATCAATCTCTTTACGAGACTTTTTCTCCTTCCATTGGCTAAAATTTACCCCATCTATTATATTATATATGTTTATGGATTATGGTTAATGATTGAAGAAGCCTTGATTAAAAAGATAAGAAGTTTAGAAGCAAAAAAGAGGAAAAACTTACTGTATGAAGCCAAGATTTATAAGATGAATTCAAGATTATGTATCAAAAACTAAGGCCAAATTGATGATTTGAGAGCAAAAAAGAATAAAAATTTAGACCAGTAGTGGTTATGATGCTAGAGGAAGAAGGAGAACTAGAAAGAAGATTAAACGACGACTGCGTTAGGTTAATTGAGTTTTCTAGATTATTTTTCCTATTTTCTAAAAAGTAAAATTTTATTAGATTTTAAGTAAAAAAACGAGAAAAAAAAACTAATGAAAAAATAACATAGTTGGAGACTCGAACCCGAGACATGAGGGCCAAAACAGAGTAGACACTACCACTATACTATACCCGAGACATGAGGGCCGAAACAATTTATATATTTTTGGGGGCCGCAAGCTTGGGCTTGCCCAGCTTGTACTTGTAGCCGGCTTTGCGAGTATGAAAAAAACAATAAAATAATTTTTCCGAAAAAATATATAATAATAAAAATAAAATTAGTATTGGTACAACTAAATATAGACAATTAATAATAAATATAGAGCTTATATTACTTAGAGATAATTAGCTCACAAGTAAAGATCTGGGATGAAATTAGTTTTTGATAAAATCTTGTCGGGGTCTAAAACAATTCTAACATTAGCCCATCCTCTTTCCATATTTAGCCTCACGCGCTTAGTAAACCGACGAAGTTTTTTTTTGTTTCTTCCTAGACGAATATGAGTGGTTTTGTAGCGTGCATGCATGTACACAAATGTTAACAACGTTCTATCTACGTGTTTATATGTATACAAATATTAATAACGTTCTATATACGTGCTTACATGTATTTTAATGTTAATAACGCTCTATGTACGTGTTTACTTGTATATAAATGTATTTTACTTGTTAATAACGTTCGTTCTATATACTTGCTTACATCTATTTTAATGTTAATAACGCTCTATATACGTGTTTACTTGTATATAAATGTTAATAACGTTCTATTATATATATATATATATATATATGTGTATATATGTATATATTTACATATATACATAGATCCAATAGCTTAACACTATAATAACTTTTAACGCTCTATTTATGTGTTTACATGTGTATAAGTATTAAAATCGTGTAATATATGTTTGTAGCGTGTTAAAATTGCTCTAATTCGAGAAACAAACAATTATTGTTAGTTTGGTAAGAGTCAGTTCACGTGTTGAGCATTTAATGTCTGTCAGTTCATTTTTATTCTCTCCCAAAAGTCAAAGCGTCTGTCACGCACATATCAAAAAATCAACATGGTTTTTTCGTTATTATTGGGAAATTGAGGGCCACTTGTTACGTGTTTTTTCTATTGTTTGAGACAAAAAAAAACATTTGTTACGTGTTTTTTCTATTGTTTGAGACAAAAAAAAACATTTACCGATTTGCAAATTACTTGTTCTGTTTTTATCTCTGCGCAAACTCTCTCTATTACTTATTTAGTGAAATGTGTCACATGCTGGAGTGATGACGTGTCATTCATATGGAGAGAGTTGGCCAACTTTCATATATATGATTTGTAATTCCCAAAAGTAAAAAACAAAAAATCAAAAAAAGCATGATCTCTACACTTTTTTGTGTTTGATAACACTTACGACGGAAAAACTTTCAAAACTTACCCAAACATTTTTTGTTTTGCAAGAAAAGTATATTAATTTTTATTGTTACCCGAATAAGACTTTATTTTATAAATGTTGTCAAATAACACCTCATTTGAAAACATTATCAGATTTAAACATACAGTTTTTAAAATGTCTCACCGACTTCCTCCAAACATCAGATAATATTTTCAAAATGGGGTGTTATTTGAACAACGATAAAAGTTCATATTTTTTGAAATCTTTTATGCTTATTACTGATTGTTGTGACTGACTTCTCTCTGATTGGAGTGTCTCAAGCCCCAGGATCGAGCTATTTTTCTTGTTTTTTAATATATAATATGCCATGAAAAAAATAATATCATATCAACTAAGTCATAGTAGTCTAGTTGTTATCTTCATGTACATTTAACTTTCTACAAGACGCATCATGTTTGACTCATTGCAAAATTCATGATTTCGAATAGTTAGTTCTCCGTATTTTATATAGAATATTGGTTATATGAAAACTGATATTCATTTTTATTCAAGAAAATATGTAGTATTTAAATAAAAAATGATTAATTCACAACTATAAGATTCATGACCATATGAAATTAAGATTTGTATGTTTGGCACTGTTTATTTGGTACGATAGATCTAACCATTAAATATATTCGTAAGATTTTCATAGATGATTTACGCTTTAACAAGTATAATCAAATGATAGTCAATCATATATAAATCAACACACTTTCTCTGATATTTTTTTTATTTTTTACTTCATATCTGAATTTTTCAAATATCTTTGTATATATCGTAACACATTTTTATTTTTATAAAATTTCAATGTATAGATTTTTAGGATCCAATATGGCAAGAAGTAATCATATATCTGCAGACATTGAAGACAAATGCTTAATGATCATCTTTGATCTCATCGTTTAACGAAGTTGCATATATACCGGAATATGTGATGTTGTGGTGGAGACAAAGATTAAGGATCTGGGAATTCCGCAGGTGGTTTTCTGGTCGAGGTGGTTTTTGGCGGAGCGGCAGCTTCTTTGGCCTCAACGGTTTGAAGTGGAATTATGTGATGTTCGGATCGGTTTTTGTAAGCATCATGCTACTCACCATGTTAATCATTATCAGCATGACATCATCATCCTTATACATAATCATTGTAACGATAACATCAATATCATCATATCACACCATCTCATGATATCACATCATTATGATGA